ATGGTTAAGAGACTGGAAATAAAATACAGAGCTGCAGTGTCACTTGTCTGATTGCGGTGCCTAAAAGACAAATCCTGCCTGCCATGTGTCTGCTATAGTATAAAACTTGAACACATGGTATTTTTACAAATCCAGCAAAGGTATGATTGTAAGCAGGTTATACAGTTTTCAATTGACTTCAACTGTCATTGCTACTTCTTTTAGACCCTTCCTGTGTTTAATGCAGTATAACCCAGATTATATATCAGTGGAAAAATAAGGCTACACAAGAAATACTGGTGGAACCTCCTCTGCACTATGCATGAGTTGAGACAGGTACTGGTTACCTTGTGATCTCCTGTGAGACAGTCAATTGCAACCTCTGAGCAAGCAGCTCCATAAACAAAATATGTAAATGGGTGTCCGTAACAGGGGACCTGCTCAGGGCTGCCTTCCCTGCAGCCCGCCCACCTGTTCCTGGGCTAACCGCCCACATTCTTGCCCACCACACTGTGATGAGCAAGTTTGTTATTACCCTGAAATAAAATCTTTTTTTGATAGCATACTGTTAGGTTAACAATAATTTAGATTATTGAAAAGTATTAGCTTTGCAGCTGAATACAAGGCATGACCTGTGGCCTAGCAATGCTGCTGACCACAAGCCAGAATGATAGCTAAGCGTTTGTTTATGTTAAGTAATTATTTTAACTGTGTCAACCATTTTCTGAGAAAAAAGACAACGAACGTAAATCTGTCTAGGTCTTTGCACTGAGGACCAGTTACAGCATGGAACGTGATGAGATAAGAGGGGCCCATAGAGGGAAGTGGAGACTAGCACCGCTGAGGACAGAGAACAGATTGGAATGTAAAAGATAACATGTTACCGTTACTTAATTTCTGCCTTTGGAAAAGTACTAGCTATAATAGATAAATGTAATGTTACTATGACGATTTGTGTAGCACCACAGAAGACCATAAGTATTGGAAGGAGATGATGACCATAAGTATTGCATATTTAATGACCTTGTAGTTTTCTTTGTTAGAAAAGGTATAAAAGACAGCCCCACCCTTAAGTTGGGGCCATTTTGCCTCTTTGCTGGTTTATGGTCTTTGCTCGAGCAAATAAACTGCAGTTAACCCTTTACCCATGTTGCCTGGTTCCTATGCAGCTAGACAACGGACTCCAGGGAGTTTTCTCCCACGACAACACCTTGTTGGAATTAATTAAAATAGATATTAATAAGCAAGAGGCTGCCCATTTCCTGCCCTGATGCCAGGGGGCACTATTTGCAGCTCCATGCCTCCCCTACACCGCAGCCCAAGACTCACAGATGGCATCTCAATGTTATCATCATCACCGGCCCCTGCACTGGGCCCCAGAATCATCCTAATTGAACCCTGCCTGGATTCCTCCCCTCAGGCAGCTTCTTCAGCCGTCACACCGGGCAGCATAGC